TTTCAGCACCCCAGAAAGAGCCGCAGCACTCATTAGCAGTCACTTCACACTCCCCTCTCTGCCCAGCCCCTGGCAACCACCCATCTGCTCTCTCTCCACAGATCTGTTGATTTCCATTGCATTTGATGCATAATGAACTGGGTGGAGCGATTCCTGTGAAACAGGGTCAGCCCTGTGAGACTGGCCAGGGGCACCTGGTCCTCTCCGTGAGGGGGCATCTGTTTCCTTTATGACATTGTGATGATAAGAAGAGAGGCATCACTAGGTACAAAGCTAAATGAGGAGGAGGGGCCTAGGGGACACAATAATCTTTCCACTTTCTTCTTTCTCAGTCCTACAGGGAGAAGCAGGAGTCTCCCCAGTGCAGGATAATTCACTCCCTCATTCATTCATTCATTCATTCATTCATCAGCAAACATTTATGGACAGCCTCCCATGTGCTAAGCACAGTGCTGACAACTGGAAGGTTGTCATATCCATGGTCCTGGGGAGACACAGACATGTGAACACTCTGACATTAAATATAACATGGGACCTTTAGAAGGGATGGTGCTGGCAAAGTGTTCTTTGCACCCAGAGTGGTCTACATAGTGAGACATCAATCATGGCACCCTGGTCCCATCCTGTCTCATATGCTGCCTTGTTTCTACTACCCCAGCCTGGCTCTGGCTCTGTGACAAGGCCCTGTTGGAGCTGTGACATGCAGCCTGAGGTGGACTTCTCCCCTACCCAGGACGATCCCCTCTGCTCTAGCCTGTTAACTTCCGTGCATCCCCGAGACCTATCTTGCTGTGGTCGCTCCTGGAAATTTCCTCCTTGGCCGCTCAGGCGCACACATGGCTCTCCATCGTGACCCCACCGGACTGCAGGTGGGGTCAGACTGAACTTTCTCTCTAGACTAGGAGCCAGCGTGAGGGGAGAGATGGTATCCCCGACTCCTGGCTCAGGTAGGATGCCCAATAAAGAGGTGTGATATGAAAGAGTTGACTCAGTGGTAACCCATGCAAGAGCATTTTGGAGGTAAGTGCCTTCCTTTCTGTCTTGGTGTGATCTCAGATCTGGCCAGTTGATACCCCAGTTCTAAATTCTGGGAGGGGCTGATTAACTGCTGAGCCACTGTTACTTTTCTCACGGAAGACCAAGCAAGGTCACACGACAAACTCACAACTCTCCTGAACTCAGGCTCCAATGTTCCTACCCCCACTTTCTATTGGTAAACTGGGATCTCCCTTTCTCAACAGAGTAACACTGTCCCCTAGCAGGCATTTAGGAGCAGTTTTAGTTCTCACGGTTTGCTGGTAGGTGCTAGGTGTCTGGACATGCACACACAACATCTTGAGCAATAAGAATTTTCCTAGGTCCTACTAACTTCTGAGTGTCTGCTGAGCATTTATATAGCAGATAAACCCGTTGTGACTATCTGAGCTTAGGACTTAACTGCATCATTTTACATATAACCCAGAGGGTTTTTGTGTGTGTGTGGCGGGGGGGTGGGGTGGATAGCATGGTTTAATACATACTGAGATTTCCAAGAATGCTATTGTTTTATAAATTGGTGGAAAAAATATATATAATTTAGATTTTCATGAGCTCTGTCCTTGCATTTCTGAAAATCATGTCAGCAGTTGCTACAGCGTTTGAGTTGCCGTCCCAGCCCTCCGATATTCATGGGTGTCTGCAGGTGTTGCGTTCCGTGAGTCTGTAGATGGGTCCACGTATTTGTCCATTTCATGACACCCCCTCATTTTAGGAGGGTAAAAGAGGCATCATTAAATGTGTGCTATACGGTGTTGGGTCGGCCACGGCCTGGACAGTGACCTGCAGGGTATGAAGTTATCCTTACTCTGATTTCTTCTTCTAACCTCAAAGACAAAGTGCCATGGGGGACAGAAAGGGCTGGGGTATCTTGCCAGCAATTTCCTTGAATTATTACCCAAGTCAGCACAAAAGCTGAAAAGGTTCTATTCTGAGACAATAACTTATTAGGGTACTGTCAAACAGGCTGGAAGAAATGGGGTGCTGGTTATCTACCGATGCTTCCTTTCATTCTAATTTAACCTTTAGAAAAAACTAGACTTTCTAGCTTTCATTTCAATCAGGCCACCATGCTCACACTTCCACCGCATGGTGAGAATCTGAACTGCAATCAGTGTCCCGTGAGCATCACCTTCCATTTTGAGTATCTCACTGAGTAGACAGATGAAATAGTTCTTCACCCATTTCGTGACACACAGCTTCCTAACACACACAGATCCTTTGTGTGAAGCCAGTGTCTGCTACTCCTGAGACAGGAGAAAGGCAGGAAACCTGCCTGGGTTTCAATCCATTCACTGGATCCTGGGTGCACTGTGCAATGAATGGGCTTGGGGAACTTTTCTGTCTGTTTCTTGCCCTGTTGATCTTGCCACTTTGCGCTTTCATGCTTTGGCCATCATGTCTGTCCTGTGTGAAGAAATGAGGGCGTGTTTGTCTCTTCTGCATGAGTTTCACAGGTCCTTCTGTGGCAGCCTGACCCTGCCTGGCCATTTCCTGCTCGAACGAGTTCATTCCTGACTGCCCTTCCCCCACCTCAAGGGCTCTCCAACTAACTAACATCAGTTGTTTCATAGCTTGCCAACCAATTAATGTTCTTCCTTATATCTGCAGCTGTGTAGGGATGACAAGACTGTATAAAACTGCCTGTTATGTGACAGTCAGGGCTCAGCCTTTGGATAAGAATCCGCTGAGCTGGTGCTGGCATCGATAAATGCTGCTTCCTGCTTATAGCCTCGGTGTCCCATCTCTCTGAGAATCCCGCAACACTTCCACTCTGACAAGACTTCAACCATGCTACCCATCCGACACTGCTGCCACCCAGTGTGCTTCCCGAAGCCACTCTGAACTAAGGCTGCTTGCTCCTGAGCAGCTGAGAAATCACTTCAGTGCCTTTCTTAGCGCTGCCCGTGCGACTAAGAGTACAGCTCTCACTCCTTCGAATTCCACCGGAGAAATAGTGACTGGAAGCTGCCAGCAATCTGTTTGCCTGTTTCTGGGGCCAGCTCCAGACATGGAGGCAAGAGAGAAGAGGCAGCTGGTGATTAAGACTCTCCATTTGTCCTAACTCCAGTGAGCCCTCAAGGTCCTAACCTTGGGCTGTGTCCCTGGTCCGGTTAGTCCAGTTTTAGCAAGAATCCTGCTGAGTTAGTTTAGTGAAAATCACCCCCTTGATATCTGATCAAATTGTTCACCCTCCATCTTTGACATCTGCTCACCCTGCCTGCCCTAAACAAGAATCCTCTTGAGTTGTGTAATGTAATCTTTAAAATGTCCTATTTTCCTGATGCCTCAATATCCCCACACAGGCTATGAGCATCCATCCAGATCCACTAGTGTGATAAGGTCGTCGGTTCTATAAGTTTCCCTTCCTACTCTCCCAACTGTGACCCACTGATGTTCAAAGTCACCAGTGACTTCCCCCACGCCCTTTTGTTTATCCCACCATGATCTCCAACGAAGGTCTTTGTCAGAGGTCTTCTCTGCTTCTCCCACCTGGTGGAGCCTGTGCCCTGTGACCCCCTTCTCCAGAGACTCCTGTCTCTCTTAGACCTGTGAGAATAAGAAATGTTTTCTCCTGAGCTTCCCCTCTGCCTCCTCTTGTGGCCGCACCTGGCTGACCATCTCATAGAAGAATCTAAAGCAGTCAGTCCACCAAGAGGTCCCTCGGCCTTGATGTTTGCTCTTCGCAATTTTCCGCCCATAGTCCCCACCCTGCCTCTTGGCTATAAATCTCCACTTGTCTTTGTTGGAGTTGTGTTGGGCTGATCTCTGCCCTCTGCTACAAACCCCCACTCCAGTGCCCTGTGAATAGAGTCTGCCCTACCATCTTTAGCAAGGGTCAGAAATTATTTTTTAGTACCCGGAGGAATGCAGACAGGTTCATTTCCTGTCTGCGGCAGTAACGCTCCTGTGTATGACATCTTTCAGCTTACACTGTGCTGTCACTCACATTTCTTATTTAAACCTTAAAGAAAATTTTGTGGTTAATGTGGTCATTCTTCCTTTCAAATGAGGAAACCGAGGCACAAAGAGGCCAAGGTACTTTCCTCAAGGCATAGACTGAACTCACCAGCACATTTTCTTTCTACTACTGTTGCTGCTGAAAGGGAGGTGGAGCAGGAGGACAAAGGGATAAATACAGATTTGCAAGTTGAGGGCAGACTCTCAAAGTGGGGATGTGCTGCAGGGAGTTAGAAGCATGGTAGAATAGACAAGGAGGGCCATTTCCAGTTCGACCCACACCGAAGATGCAAGATGCGTCCTGGTTAGTGCAAGGTCTCCAGTGCAATGTTGCCTCGGGGGCATTTCAATTTAAAATAAGATGTATGAGTCACTGCTACAAAAAGGCAAATAGAATGAGAAGGGGCCCTCCCTGCTCTGAATTTTCACAGACAAAGGGCACATCTCATTTCAGTACCTCTTTTTTTCCTAAGCAAATGACTTGGATTGCTGGCCTGTGTTGGCATCCCCAGTGTCCTCTGGGAGCTGCGGGGGGGCAGGGAGCTTCTATTCTTGATCAGAAACTGTTGAGTCTTCATCTGAAGGGGTTCTACTCATCTCAGAATGTGTTACGAGCTCACATGCTGTTTCCCAAATGTTAACCGTCTGCAAGAAATCATTCCCCCGCACCCTAAGAAAATACTGCTTTGCTGGACTCACAGCTCAGTTTTCATGATGTCCTCGATTCTGGATGGTCATACAAGCATGCACACTCACATGTTCTCTCCTTCCGAGTGGGGGTGAGGAATGGCAGGTGAGAAAAGAGTTTCAAAGCCAAAAAGGGGTAAAGGTGTCCCACTCTCCCCTCCTGTCCTCTGCCCAGGGGAGTTCTCCCGGTCCCTGCCTTCCCCTTCCACCAGGAGCTGCTGGCCTGGGCTGGGAATGACTCACGTTCCACCCTGTCTTTGCGAAGGTTGTCAGGAAACTGCTCTCTACTAAGACTGACAGAATCTGCCGTAATCGTCAAAGGCCAGGAAAGGCAAAAATAGAGTCTCCTCCTTTCTGAGGAAACCTAACCTCATCCTGCAGCAAGATCCCTCCTTCTGCTCACTAGGAACCTTGGAGAATCTGAACACAATTGATTTTGATACAGACGTATAGGACAGACTGAAGTTTCTGCAATCCCTCTGCATCTGGTGGGTGGCGCGTTCTCACTTTTCACCACTAGATGGTGCAGCAGGGTCCTGACCAGCATCCCTAGGAAGGCAGCTTCCATCAACTTAAATAAGAGTGTGCTCTCCAATGCAGACTAAGGTTTTAATGGAGAGAGAATTGGAGGACGATATTGAGCTGCTCTTGGCTAGCTCTGAAGATGGGAGAATATCGATTTCTTTGGAGGGGGGCATAACATTCCATCCATGGTCTGTATTTACTAAGAGCTGCAAGACCACCCTGTACCCAGGCTGGCCACAAAACCCAGCCTGGCCTCATGCAGTAATACTGCCAGGGGAGTGGGCAGTTTAGACTATTGTACTCTCTAAATTCTGGCTCATGACTTGAAATATTTTCTTTTTTTGTGTCCCCTAACTGAACTCCTTGGGCTAGAGGGTGTGGCTGGAAGGCAGATGTGAGGCTCGGGGTGTCTGGGTGTCGGTCTCTTGTATGCAGGGCTGCCAGGGTTGGGAAGGGGAAGAGAAGCAGCATTGAACACCGAGGAATCAAAATTCTAAACCAGAACCCGGCCTTCCAGGTGGTCATAAAGGTGTACTGTAAAAGTGGGAGGCTGTAACATATGATATTTCCCTGTTCATTACCTTTAATCATATACTTTAAATATTTACACAGGTGTTTGTATTCTTGCCCAAGGCTCACAAAATAATTGAGCCTGGACAACCCCAGTCAAAGCACCTTCATATCTCACCTGACCACCAAGATTATCTTCTATCTGGTCCTTCTGTTGGACCAGTAAATTCCTAAAACCTAAGTCAGATCTTGTTCCTACCTGCTCAATACACCTGGAGCAAATCTCAATCTCCTTACTAAGGTCTAAAGCCTGGCCTACCTCTCTGATCAGACGGCCTCGGCCATCGTGGCCATCATCCTCCGCCTAGAACACCGTGCTCAAGTTCTAGAGCAGGCTTGGTCTGTTTTCTGGGACACACCCAACTTTTTAATGCCTCGGGCCTTTTGTACTTGTTAGTCCCTCTGCCTTCCACCATCCCTTTCTGGCTGCTTCCTCTTTCTTGTCCTTCAGGTGTTGGTTTAAATGTCACCATGAGAGAGGCATTCCCTGACCAGTCAGGGGATAGTGCCACCCCTACCCCCTACTTTCATTTCATCCTATTTGAGTCCCCTGCACTTACACCAGGGGTAGTAAACCTTCCTGTAAAGGGCCAGGTGGTCTCTGTTGGGACTTCTGTATTCAGAAACCAGCCAATGAAAGGTATGGCTGTGTTCCAATAAAACTTTATTTACTAGGGTAGCTTTGGCTTTGGCCATTGTTTGCCAACTCCTAACTCACCTTATCTGGCATTTTTCTTATTTTTTAATGGATGAGTATTGCCTCTTTTGTTCACTGTGATCTTTCTGGTGCCTAGAACACTTCTTGGCATATAGTTGACACTGTGAGTATCTTTTAAATGAATATTATTTGTTAACTGCTTTGTTCTTTAAAGCCTTGGTAAATCTTGGTTTCTAGTTTCCTTTTTTCCAGCAACTTTTCCCCCTGGAAATTTAGCTTTCATTTCTCATCAGAAAAGATGACTAAACATCTGCTGATTGACAGGGAAGAGCATCCTGCAATCTGGGAAAGCCAGATAAGAGCATGGGGAGGTGACGTGGCTTTCTGCAAATGGCAGGATGCAATTAGACCCAGCACTGATGGAGCAGCAACTCTTAATTATGCAAATGCAGCTTACTTGTGAATTTTAAATTCTGGGCAAACTCCCAATTTTGTCCTCTTTTCCAAAATATTCCTGGGCATCTTTCTCACTGCCTAGTCCTAGGCTTAGGAAAAGCAACTACTTCTAATATCAAATTATGGAAAATCTGATTAGAAGGACAATCAAACAAAATAAAAAGAAGCCAACTTCCCAAACCCTCTGAAACTAGTATTTTAAAATCAGATAAAAATGGGACTTGCAGCGATAGTAAAATGGATGCTGATGAAAAATCTAAGTGCGACCTTGTCTCCGCCTGCCTGATAATGAGCACTCTACTTTTTGCTAGGAGGAGAACTGGTCTGGTAAGCAGCAGCACAGCACGGTTCTTGGGCAGGTCTAGAGGGCTGAACTGAGCTTTGTTTAGTGGTGGGGTGAGCACGTGCGAGAGTAGAAGGGGCGGCTCCTCTTTTTTAAGAAGCGTAGACAAAAAAGGGGCCACAAACTAAACCTGACAAGCTCAGGGGAGGCCAGCATGGTGTGTCCTACAAACTCAGAGACGGAAAGTAACCACGTAGGATGGTCTGAATATAAAAATTCCTTACTAAAAGCGGGTCATGGTGGGTAGTCACATCCTAGGCCTGTAGCTTCCCTGACAAAGATCAATCTTTACTTTCAGTGAGCCTGTTCATTGTCTTTTTGCATCTCAGGTAACATACCCATGGAACGTCAGAGTAAGCCCTTTTTCTTGGACCCCTCAGGGCACACTTACTGAACCAGAGCATGAGAACACAGAACCCCTCATGGTTATCTTGTTCCCCAAATATCACCTCTATGTGCTGTAAACGTTATTGTCAATCCTGTACCCACCAACGTGAGAGAAAGATGTGTCTCTCTGTTTTGCTTTTTATCCAGTCCCAGAGACTTTCCTGCTTTGCTTTCTCCTGCCCTTTTCATCTACCACCAGTGGATTTCATGTGACTCTCCTTACGTCTCCTCTTTAGATTCTAATGTATAAAATAAGCTGCAAAACTGCCATTTCCTGGACCATTTTCTCCATCGGTTGAGATTTTGCTTGGCACTGGTACTAGCAATTGTCAGCTGGCTCAAGTAAACGCATAAAATTCCTCTACAGGTTTGGACATTTCCTACCTCGACAGAAGGCTGTACCTAGAACCCAAAGTGTGACTATGGGGGCTTCCAAAGACCCCTAAAGCAAGGGTGTGCTGGTTAACCAGCTTGCTAGGGGCCAAGATGGCCCTGATTTGTCATGTTTGCTATTCCTGTGGTGCAAACACTGACACCGTGGCTGCTTTCAAGGCCCCGACGTGACAGCACTGACACGCACGTGTGTGGCAGGCTCTCCCAGACAGCACCAGAGGCTCCAGCCCATCACTACCCCAAATCCCTTTGTGTCGAACTGGGCCTGAGCGGATCCTACTCAGCTCAGGCTTGCGCCGTGCTCTTCCTCTCCCCACAATCTCAGCCTCTGCACCCTCACCCTCCCCTGCCCAGATGCACTGGCTGCAAGGCTTCATCTCCCCATGGGTCGGCCCCCTGCGCTGTCTAAACACGGAAATCCCCTCTCACTCTCCTCTGGCCGGTCCTCTCCCGCCCCACGCTGGTCAACAAGATGGCTTTGGTTAGTTCTTCAAGAGCAGAAACACTCAAGCTCCCTAGCAAACGTCTAGAGATACTTTCCTAGATATGTCAGCTGACTGGAGGTGAAAACTCAGGCAGCTTTTCTTTTGCTAATTTGGCCCATTTAGAAACCAAATGGAATGGCACAGCAATTTAAGGCCAACCCCCCTGCTGTCCCAGATACAGATTTCTCCCCAGGAATGTGTTTAGGGTCAAGGAGTGGGTCTTCAGAGGGTGACACCGCCCTATGGGGATGTCAGGAAATATGTGGAGGCCTCTTTTGATTTCCAGAATGAATGGAGAAGAGAACCTATGACAGGAGATGCTAGGGGTCCTGGAATCCTTCAAGGACAGGAAGTCCCATCCACGCGAGCACACTAGAATTCAGTTAGAAATGCTTGGCAGCCAGATCCTCCCTTTCTGGCTCTTCAGGAAGCTGAGGTTTAGAATTCTTAGAGGGAATGACTAAGGTAAGCAAACACATGGGTCTCCTTGAGTACAGAGTCTAGAAGAGTCTGCTGAGGGAAACAGGGCCTGGGTCTCCCTACGGAAGGAGATTGGTGCAGTCACACAGCGGGCGGGCGAGCTCGGTGCAGGAGAGGACTGTCCCCGACTGGCCAGGAATTGCACTGAAGAAGCACTGAACCCTCTGAGGGACCATGGCAAGCAGACATTTCTATTTCAGGTCTGAATCTGGGCTCCGCACTAAGTAGCAAGTTGCTTCACCTCACCTCCACGAGTCTGGCTTCCTGCAGGCACATGCTCATGCTGTAAATTACAGTGCCCACCAGATACAGAAGAAAGCGGACAAGTAGCTGATGCATGTATGCAAGTCGATATGCAAACCACGGGACAGGGACAGCTGCCTTTTCATTCAACTGGTGTGTTCAAAGCCTCGTTTTGTTCATTCTCAGAGTTTACACAAGGGAAAAGACACATTTTCACATAAAAACAGAATTTCAGACTGATAAATAGAATTTCTCACCTTTCGGAGTCTTGCAAGGAGACCTGCTACATGTTCATGCTGTTCTGACCTAGCAAGATCTTCTGCTGTCTTTCCATCCTATTGGAGAAAAATGATTAGTTTCTTTCCTTTGCAACAGAGACCTGTGTGTTCTATACACCAATTTTGTCACTGGAGGCAGAAACAAGAAGAATAGGGGTCAGAAGCAAAGAAGGTGAAAAAATAATCCTAGCTTATTCCCTTTCTGTGGAATCCTTATTTTACTTGACTGTCCAGGAAAGGAAGAGAAGAAGTAGGGAGAAATCGCGCATTGGTGTTTTGAGGTCCAATGGTGAGATGTTTCAGGCACACAGGCTTTAATCAAACCCGGCACCTCGTTACAAGGCAGATTACCTGGTGAACCGAACGTCTCTCCAATTAGGCTGACCATAGATTGTCGTTAGATGCCAAATTCCAGTTAGTGCCGGCTAATGTTTCAAAATAGATCCATAGACAAACCTCAGCACTGGTATCACGCTAGTTACGGGTAATTACTGCACATTCAAAGAAAAGCCTTCGTTTTACAGACAATTTTATCTAAAGATATTCAGTGAACATCAAAGGAGGAAATAAGGATCCATGGCACTTCGATGTTCGCTTTTTAATTAGAGAATTTTCACAGGGCTTCAGTCTCATACCGAACGAATTCATTTGTTTCTCCACCATGAATACGCACGATAATGGCTAACGTTTACTGAGCACCTCTTAATGAGCCCTGCGTGTTTTGTGTGCATTGACCCTCAGAGTCACTCCTGGGCGGTGGGAACTACGGCTGGTCACACACCACTGAGGAGGGCACAAAGGCTTAGGGACTGTTCTGCTGCAGTTTTAGGAACCACAGCAATTTAAAAGTAGACAAGATGAGGAGCAATTTCCAAATCAACAAAAGCAATATTTTTTTTAACTAAAAGAAGCAGTTTGGCCTATCTCTCAGTGTTTGTCGGTAACAGAATTCCATTCCCATGGAAGCTTAGAAATGCCTGCCTGAATCTGTTTAACAGCACGCCTTCTGAGCTCTCAACTCAAGTCACTCTCTGGGCCATGCGTGGGTTCTCATCAGACCAGCGTTTCTCTACCTCAGCACGACTGACGTGAGGGGTGGGGCAGTTCTGTGGTGGGCGGCTGTCCCGTGCACTGCAGGATCCCTGGCCTCTGCCACTAGATGCCGGTAGCATTCCCGTTTCCTCACTGGTGACAACCTACACTGTCTCTAGACATTGCCCAATGTTCCCTGGGAGCGAAACCACCCTAGCTGAGGACCACTGTCTTGGGCTGAAGCTGGAAGTTCAGGTGGGTGCTCTGGGAGGAGGCATGCTTTATAGTCACACGCCATCTCTCTGCGCTCCCTCAGAGTCCCCAAAATTCTCCAAAGGGTAGGTGCGGGCTTCTATTTTGCTTTGGAGTGAATTAGGTAGGTGTCATGTCCGACACCACATCCCCAGCTAGGGATTCTTGCCAAAGTGTCTAGATCCTTTCCTGCCGTGATAAGCAAAGGCCTCGGCTCAGTGGTTTCCAAGCTCCGCCACACACTGGAGTCACCGGGGTTCTATAAGAACTCCCGCTGCCTGGCTCCCACCCGCACACTCTGCTTTTGCCAGTCTGGGGTGACTCTGGCATTGGAGTTCTAAGCGCTCCCACGTGATTCTATCATGCAGCAGTTTAGGAACCACTGCTCTCGCTGGAAGAAATCTGAGCCTTGACTTAAATCTGGTCTTCTGGCGTGTCTGGCCATAACATTTACTTCTCTGGAAGACCTCAGATCTGCATATAAGACAGGCTGAGGATGGTCAGTGACAAAGATGACTCTCTACCATTAAGCCTTTCAAATGACAGGAAAACCACCAATGACAACAATCCTTACATTTGCATAGCACTTTACAGTTTGCAAAACACATTGCTCT